TCGGGCCGTGCATCCTGCGGCACGCCAGGGGTGGGGATGCCCTGGCACCCGGCACTGGCATGTGCCCCGGGGCTGAGGCCCGCACCAGGCGCCAGTACATGTTGTGCGCCTGGGACCGGCGCCTCCAGTGCGCCGCGCGCCGGGCCAGCCCAGGTTGTCGGCGGGCGCACACAAATGCCCTGGTGGGCGCCATGGCACCCGCGGGCACCGCGTTGGGGACCACTGATCTAATAGATAAATAAATATGCATTTTAAAAAATAGGTAACATAGATTTTTAACTGGAAGACTACAAGACCTCCAAAAGGAACTGTTCTGTGTTAACAAGTAAATAATGATTGCTTTGACATATATTAAAAAAATCCCTGAAGAAATCCTACATAAGTATGCATATACTTCAAATACTTGAATACCTTCTAAAGGCGCTCTGTCACATTTTGAGATTAACAAGTATATAAATTGGGATTCAGAAAAAAACATAAGCACACTCTTAAGCACCATCTGGAATTGGGACATATAAAAAAAAATCTCTCTCTCAAAAGCTAGAAGTTCAGATGTTAATTTGCTTTAAAAAAAAAAAGTGACAATCTTTCAAAGAAATCAGTTGTACTTCTGTCCAGATAAAGTCTATTTTATAACTTGTTTAATGTTTAAACCATATGTTAAAAAAAATCTGTCTGACTGCAGAGTACATGAGGAATATAGACTGGGCTCCTGTATTACAAAACCCAAATCTACAAAAAACACTATTAGGTTTTCAAGAATCATGGAATTAAAAAAAAACCAAAACCTTCCAATCTGAAACCAAAGAAATAATAAGGTTGGGACTGTTTTTATTTTCCTTTGGATTTTTGAGCCCTTAAATATATTTTCAAGCTTTTCCTCTGCAAGCACAAGGGCTAGACATTTATTTTCTTAATGGGAGCTAAGATTCTTCATGCAATCACAGGATTCCAGGAGTTGGGCTTACTAAACAACCTTGGACATACAATCAAACATGCAAATTAACCAGGGGTATGTGTACATGCAAGTTTCTT